GTGCAGTAGGCATATGCATGCTGTTCTTTTTTTTTTTTTTTTTTTTTTTTTAATTGGCATTAGAACAAGTCCATTTTCAGACAGTTAACCCTCTGGCAGTCCATAGAGAATGTTGCATAAAATACTCTTATTGCAAAATATATGTTGAAAATGTATTTCTACCTGTTGATTGTAAATGTTTTCTCATAGACCTTAATGTCTACAAATGTGTAGTAAAACCCAAATGCCACATAATGAAATCTGTTATTTTCCTAATTTTATAGAGTTTTCAGTCTAATTATACGTTTTGATTATATTTATTGTCATGTTACAATTTACACTAGACAAAAAGTTCAAAATGTGAAAATTCTTAAGCGCATATCCCCAAAAACAATACAGTTACAGTTAAAATAAAGAGAAAACATTAGTTGTATGATGCATCAGTGCTAATATAAATACATAGTAACAATGTGAATCAGTGTAAAACAATGAAGCAACATGCTCACTAAACAAGTGAAGTGAAGAATGCAGCAGTGTAGTGCAATCTAAACATCATGTCATCATAGATGTAAAGGTAGGTGATGGGTCATTTATGGAAACATCGATTTTTGTGTCCCTAGCGTTTACAGATATGTTACACTTGAAAAACATGTTAGGGTTGCAATTTATTTATATTTTAAAATAAAACAATACATTATTCTAACAATTACACCTTCTTGAGCCTCAATTTAGCAATATTGGTTTTTAAATCAATTATATAGAATTTCAAGCAGCACAGAAGAGTTCATTCTCACAGTCATGTGTGAAGGGTGAGGCCATATTTTGAGGTAAAAACACGTGCAATTTTAACTGCAATGATCTATACATGACTATGAAATATATAAATTAAATAGCATAAAGAAAACAAATGCCAAATATTAAATAATATATAATGAAAGTTGTTGTCCCCAGAAGTCGTGTCGCTGGTGTTACTGCACAACAAAAAATCTCTTATTTTGAAATAAAAATCAGACTGATGTCATCACTTGACTTCTTTGGCCTCTTTTCTGAAGATCTATGTAGAAAAGCACATGATAAGTTCACTGTGTCTTTTCAGTTATCAGAGATTTTCTCATTTAGCTCATGATTTCATATGAAGCTTTTAGCTGAAGTCACTAGTGTGACCTACTTTATTCTTAGGTAATTGTGAAAAAATAGAATACAAATGAATTAAATTACATCTTGTAGTGGATATTCCATGATTGACAGAATGTGGTTTGATGTTTTGTAACAGACATTCTGTAAAATGCATTTTAGTTTCCTAACACAACTTCATAGATTTTTAAATCTGCACTTTATAAGTATTTTTTTTAATTGAACAAAGTAGCTTTACTCAGGAGTCAGCAGAAACAAAAAATACTATGTACTATATATACTATACTATAAATATAATTTAAAAGTTAGAGGTGTTGGGCCAGATTTCATGAAATTTCTCAGATCACTTCACATCTTTGTGTATTAACATCAGAAGCACAGACTCAAAAAGCAGCTCAGGCTCGATGTTTAGATCTCAAATGTAAAATCAGCATTATACTGATGAAGATGACAACAATAGATAATTCACTCAAATCCTTCTCTTTGCATGCTCTTTCAACGCACTGGCAATCATCAGATTCATCCAATCGGGTAAGGGGCCCAAAGCACAACTGATGTTATAATATGTTTTGGCACTTGGTCTGTGCATTTCCACATTTCCACCAGAGAGGTCTCTAAATCCCCAAAACTTACATAGTGCAGTGAAACCCTACTTCTAAGACTCAAACATTGAACAAAATATGTCCAAACACAGAAGGAAAACAAGAATTGTAGAAGTAATATACTGCAAACTTTGCTATATAGATGGTGTTTGATATGGTATTTGCAACATATTTCTGATTTTAATACTTTATGCTTATGGATTTTATGACACTATTTAAAAGCTTTGGCCAAAAAAGTATCTCTGGTAGCGCTGATTTTCAGTTAATAGCTATATATTGATGTTACATAGTGTGCATATGTGCGGACTGGCTTTTTGAATACCCCTTTAAATTGGTAGTAATAAATCATTGCATGTCTCTATGGATACTTACATTTGAGACCTTTGGTCTCTATTCATTTCTTCATTTTTCCTATACCCAAATGATCTTCCTACATGTTTTTAATTACTGGACCTGAATAACATGCTCTACAAGTGGATACTGGACATCCTGACTGGGGCACCTCAATCTGGCAGAACCAGAAAGACCACCTCCAGCACCACCATACTGAATAGCAGTGCTCCACAGGGCTGTGTACTCAGTCCCCTGCTATTCACACTGCTGACTGCATGGCTATGCTACAAAGCACAGCTTAAACCACTTCCTAAAGTCTGCTGTTGATACTACAGTGGTGGGTCTTATCAGCAACAATGACGAATCAGCATTAAATCACATCTCAAAGTTTGTTGTTGATATCAGAGTGGTGGGTCTTATTAGCAGCAATGATGAGTAAGCATTCATAAGAGGTGTAGCAGCTTTCAAACCATTGCAAGAATCAGTCTGTCAATGTTGATGAGACGAAAGAGATTATCGTTGACTTCAGGAGGAAACATGGTCATTACTCTCCACTGCACATCAGTGGTTCAACTGTGGAGAGAGCCAAAGGCTTCCTTGGTGTGTACATCAGTGATGACTTCACCTGGACCCTCAACACCACCTGTCTAGCCAAGAAAGGCCAGGAGCGACTTCACTTCCTCCCCTCCTACCATCCTAACTACATCCTACTAGGAGACAATAGAGAGCATCCTGACCAGCTGTTTTACTGTCTGGTCCAGAAAGTTAACCTTCTCAGAAAGCAACACCCTTCAGCAGATTGCAAGAACAGCTAAGAAGATCAATGTGGTGTCTTTACCCACCATAGACACCTCCTACTACAAGCGACAAGCGCAAGGCTACCAGCATTGTGGACAACCCCTCCCACCCCTTGCATGGACTTTTCACCATTTCACCATCACTAGAGTCTATATATATATATATATTATATATTTCTGACCTGGCCACCCTTATTGGCCCCCCTGAACTTCTGAATTCTTCTGAAATAAAAATGTGTTCTGAAACATATTTGGTCAATATACACTCATATTCAATACACAACAGCTAGGGGTAAAAAAAACAACTATTTAAAAAAGTGATAAGGATAGAAATATGGACATGACACAATTATTTGCATCCTTTTGATGAATTACAGTGAGATTATACTCACCTGTAATAAATGAGGGCTTGCATGACTAGAATTAACCAACTATGAATATTGGCTTTAATGCTTAAAAAGTCCACTTGCTTTGCCTGACCCCTTTTCACAAAGGTGAAGATAAGAAAGCTGTCTAAGAACATCAAAAGTGCTATTATCTCCAAACACAAGAATGGTAAAGAGTACAAGACCGTCTCCAAAGTCCTTGACATCCCTGTTTTAACAGTGCATAATGTATTTAAGAAGTATACAGCTCATAGAATTGTCAAAAACCTCCTAGGACATAGGCCAAAGAGGAAAATCAGTGAGAAAAACCTTCAAAGGTTGGTGCAAACTGTGGAAAAAACACATGTGTAACATCCAAAGAGCTAAATTCAGACCTAGAGCAATCTGGAGTGATGATTTCAACCCATACCATACGCCACACACTAAACCAAGAAGGACTTTTGGATAAGGGCCAAGGGAGACTCCATTGCCAAAAGAAAGATGTAGGAAGGCACAGTCCTGTTTTGTGGAAAGCCGAAACAAAAATAGAGCTCTTTGGCAATGCAGACCAGTGATTTGTTCATAGGAGACGAATTAAAGCTCAAAAGCAAAAGAACACCCTATCTACAGTCAAACGTGGTGGTGGATCACTTATGTTGTGGTGTTTCTTTACTGTCTGAGGTACTGGAGGCCTCAGCCGAATAAAAGGAATATCGAGATGGGAAGGTCACCAAGGCATTTCAGAGTGAAATGTGCTGCCTAGTGTATGGAAGCTAGGTTTGAGTCGAAGATCATGGTATCAAAGAGCATGATAAAGACCCAAAACACACATCAAAAAGCACAACTGAATGGCTACAAATGAAGAAGTGGACTGATTTAAACTGGCCAGCAATGAGTCCTCATCCCAACCCCATTGAAAATGTTTGGAGAGAGCTGAAATTTACAAGAGCTTGAAAAGTTTGCAGTGGAGGAGTGGGGAAAAACTACCAGCAGACAGGTGCAAGAAGCTTTCACATGGCTACCAAAATGTCTGGACGCTGTCACAGCTGCCAGTGGGTTTGCAACAAAATATTAGGAAAGGGTGCCATTAATACCGTCCATGCCATTTTCTTTTTGTTTCTTTACTTTAAAATCACTTCCTACAAGTTGAAAAGACATGGATTTTTGTTTAATAACTTTAGACATGTATATTTGTATATTTCCATTTATTTATGAAGATGATATAAATTTAAAAGAAAAGGGTGCCAATAATGGTGGCCAGAACTGTGTGTGTGTGCGTGGCATTCTGTACGTGTGTGTGTGTGTATATATATATATATATATATATATATATATATATATATATAATATATATATATGTATATATGTATATTATATATATATAAAAAACAAAAGACCATTTGACGACATCAAAGCACACACTATTATGTCAAACAGTAGCTGGTCTCTAGTGTATTTGAAGATCCTTTATAAATTGTTGCTTTGGTGAGTCATTCTTAGTTAGGGACTGTGTATCTGAGCACTAAGTTCACTGCTAGTCATACATGAAGGCAAGAAAGCATTGTTTTTTGATAGCAGTAGCTGACTAAATCAATGTCACTGGGAACACATTGTTTTATGATATACCAAATTTTATATAAATCTTTTTGCTCTATTTAGTTGCTTCATTTGCTGTTTTTAGGAATTAAAATGTAAGATATATGACACAAATTTCTGTTTCCTTTTTTAAATTACAGTGAGCACACAAGTATGTTTTTAGGTTGTTTTGGAACACCATGAAAGTGTGAATCATGGATCAATATATCAATACAACAACTACTAGGCAATTCTTCCTCCTTGGATTTCCAGGAGTTCTTCCAGAATATTACGCAGCAGTTGGAATGCTTCTCCTCTTCATTTACATAACACTTGCAGTGGGAAACATTTTCACTATTGCATTTGTAGCTTATGAAAAAAACTTACAAAAACCAACCTATCTTATCTTCTGTAATCTTGCTGCAGTGGATTTTGCTTTTGGAACAACCACAATGCCTAAAATCATTGCAAAGTACCTGCTTCAAGATGAAACTTTACCATTTCTTGCTTGCTTTGTACAAATGTTTTTTGTCCATTATTTAGGGAGTGTCACTTCTATCCTTTTGCTAGTAATGGCTACTGATCGATTCATTGCTATCTGTAACCCTCTCCGATACCCTGTTCTGGTTACAAACCATTGTGTTACAATTGTATGTGTAATTTCTTGGGTAATTCCGATCTCTTGGGTAACAGTGATGGTTATCCAGACCATAGCTGTACCCTACTGTGAGGCCAACATAATAACTCAGTGCTTTTGTGACCAAAATTCAATAACTAGACTGGCCTGTGGTGATGCAAGGCCTGCAAAGTTGTTTGCCTTTTCTTTGGCTATGTTTGTTCTGTTGGTCCCCCTTGCTTTTATCATTTTCTCCTATATTGCAATAATCATAACTGTCTTTAAAATATCCAATGTTCAAGGAAAGTGCAAAGCCTTCTCTACATGTAGCCCTCAACTTCTCATCATATGCCTTTACTATCTGCCCCGATGTGCTGTGTATGTCGCTGACATAAAGGTCCAAATGGACATTGATGCTCGCATTATGATCAGTATGTGGTATAGTCTGTTTCCTCCTCTTGTCAATCCAATTATATTTTGCTTTAGAACAAAGGAAATTCGAGACGTTTTAATAATGAAATTAAGAAAAAGAAAGATCAATAATCTTTCAGTCTGAAAAAAAATGGTTTGAGTCCACACTATTGATCTTGTGGTCACATGTTGATTTTTTCTCGTTTGGTCAATAAGCATAGAAATAAGTGCATTTATATGTATTTTGCCCAAATGTCAAAATATGGCTAATCAGTAAACTGGAAATTGTTAGAAACCTATATTACATTGTAAGGTTTGTATGAATATGGTCAATTAAAAGTTACCAGTATAGAATAACAGATATGTGTTTTCTCGCTCTTGGTCAGCGAACCAATTTTTGTTCATCCGGTGCATTTTTGGTTTGTTGCCTTAATAACCTTTTGTTATTATTATCATTTATCTATACAATTTAAATGTAATTACACAAAAAAATGTATATTTATGTAATTAATCACGTTAATTTTTTATTTGCGTCCTGTATAGACAGTTTCAGGCCTGCTTTTCGAAGTCACATAATGGCAAAACATGACAAATGACAAATGCAGAGCAAAAATATAGTAGATTTTTACAGTATCAACAACATTTCAAGAAATAATAATCAAAAGAACTACCACAATGCTTCTGTTTTTGTTGCCAATAACTGTGACTGAAAATTCGTATGCATATTTGGAACAACACTGTACTGTTGTAGAATATCTAGGACCATGTTGCCAAAGTTGAAGCTCATAAAAGTTTTTTTTTCTTTCAATTTGTTGAGTTTCTACCTCAGCATTTTGTGCCTTCTGCCAAAAAGTAGGAGCTCATATTTAGGATAAGGGCAAGCACTTTCTGTGCTCCTCTGAGCATGGATCATTCATAATAGGACTAAGGGGACTTTTATTCCTTTTTCTCTATGGCCTTTTATTTTATTCACCCTGAAAGATTGCCATAATGCATCAGACTAATGAGTTTTTGCAAAACAAATAAATAAATAAATAAATAAAACTAACCTCTACTGTAGTTTGGAGCATAAACTGGGCATCAGTATAGGCTCTTCAGGTGAATGTGCAGCATTTGTAGTTGCATACCTGATTAATAATAGTATCAGGGATAATCACAGAATTGTGGGAACTGTGAGGCAACAGGATCGAATACCATCTCTTCTGTTTTTCTCACATTCAAAATGAGATAAATAGCCTCACACCACTTCACAAAGTGGTCTGTTTCAGAATGGTAACGTGATATTTCATAATATTTGTATAATAGGCTGAAAAAGTTATCATTCCTCCAACTCGAGTATGTGATTGTTTAAGTATACACCCTCATTCATATACAGGCTAAAGACAATAGGTGGGCTAAGACCACCCTGGGAAGCACCCATGTTAATAAATCTGGGGAACGAGTGAATGTTATTGACATTTACACTCATACGTCAAAGCACCATTTTCAATGTAGATTAATACAATGTTGTTATGCTAGTTATGGTGAACTATGCTGCCTTTTACTACCTAAAATGATACAAGCAGATGGTTAAAGCAGACATGAAGATCTCTGGGGTTGTCTTAAAACTAGGACAGAATTTAGGAAATTTTGTGTAGTTAGGATATTTATATAATACTGTTTTCTTATCTGAAATTAGGATTAGATTATGAACTTAAGAACTTCTGTCCTAAATTCAGTCCTTATTGAAGTTGTCATGGTGATTAAGCAGATAAGATTAGATTTCAGAAGTTTCTGTAATACGGCCCCTGGTCTTGTTTGGCTGGCACTTCCAGCTCGGCCAAACCTTGTGAGTTGTAAGCCAATACTATCAGACCGGGGGGAGGGCCTATTGATTTACTCACTCTGCAACATTAGTCGGCATCCGCTGAAGCTGAAGACAGGATTTTGGCTAAAAACTCACTAAAGTAAACAATGAACCTTATTCACAATCTATAATAAACAGTAAGTAGTTACAGATTTACTGTCCACCTACAATATGGATTTTTGACAAATTACTCAGTTGCTTGTTAGCAAGCCAAATAGGGTTTGGCAAAAAGGGGTTAAGCTTACACTAACATTAGCTAGCTGACAGACCACCAAGTTTAAAAATTTTAAGGGACTTCACAGTGAGAGTATGAACCTGTGACAGATAGAAAAAAACATTGTCAGCTGTTTATGTTCTTTGTCTTTATATTTCTCTTACGTATTTGGAAACAATGTCACCAGTATTTACCATATATTGTTCTTTACAGTAAGGTAATGTCAGTGAAAAGGTCTTTTTTATCCCTCAAATCCTCAACCTGTAGATGGAAATTTTAAGGCCCAATCCCATTTCTTCTTTTTTACCCCTACCCCTTATTTTTGAGTGTCACCCTAACCACTTGGAACTGAGTTACAAGCATTAGTGGTTGAAATCTTGCCATACAAAATGGGACAACCCTCAAATAACATTAATTCATTAACAGGCTATTAGCGGTGCTCTGTAGGCGACCCGACCTGTCTTCAGTGATAGCAGAGACATACAAAATGCATACTTGGTTGGGATTTCCTCATGGCAGCCAGGGCTGTGCTCAACCTCAAGAAGGAAACACTGGGCTTGGAGATGGGACAAGTGAAGCTGCTTGCAGCAGTTAGTTATGGACCCAAGCCAGAGAACCAGGGCTCCCTGGCAGTATGGACTTCATTGCCTGTGGCAGTAGCTACTGCCTCTGGAAGAGCTGCATCAGAGTCGGTTGGTGGATTCCCAGGGTGGGGCAAGCTGTCAGGTTGAGGGCACCACACCTTTCATGGGTGAAGCCACCGGTGCTAGAGGAGCTGAACACACAGCAGTAGAACTGGTTGGTGGGACCCTGAGGGCCATGGGTAGTGCATATGTGCAGCAGTTTCGCCAGAATTGATGACAGGGTGGAAGCAGGAAGTGACTGAGAAGAGTGCCACTGCTGTCATTGGCCCCAGTAGCACTGGACTTAATGCTGTGAGCTGTGAGATGTTCCGTCACTCCCAGTAGGAGTGCACAGAGTACTTTGGGGCATATTCATGGCTCCAGGCAAGACAGAAAGCAAGTTGGGCAGATGTGACATGCTTCATGCTGGCTGTGATGGTCTCTGGATGCACAGCAAAATGCTGTAACGCATGTGGGAGGAGCAAGTGCCTGGGTGTAGCAGCTGTGAGTGCCGTGCAGCCTGAGGAAGATGGTATTGGTCGCGGTGCATGTGGCCGTTCGCCTGGGGCGCCGCGGCATGGCCAAGACACCGAAGCGGTTGCAGCAGAGGTTCTACTGGCCAGGCCACTACATGGAGCTATACCTGCATTGCTGTGAACAGTGTACAGCAAAAAAGGATCACCACAGCACTCACATGCCTCAAACAGCCTCTCTATTTTTGAGCACCGATGGAGTAGATACCCACGGAGCTGGTTTTCAGCTGCCTGCCAGAGCTAGAGAAGGACAGCACACCCAGATTCGGGTGCACTGAGGAGCTACTGTGCCAAGGACATGGCCCAGAGAATGGGGGCATCTGTTGCTGACAAGCACGCACCTTGCAGCATTTGTGCTGGCCAGGATAGTGGACAGGCTGGGACTCCGTGGACCCCAGAGTTTGGGGACTTTGTTAAGGCTGTGTGGGCCCCCAGAATGGCCAAACCTTTGCGGGGCGTTGGGGAGGGGGATGGCTGTGTGGCGTATGCCATTGGCAGTGTTGCCATGGGGGGCTTAGGTGGCAGTTATTCAGTATTCGGTGGATTGGAGGGGTTATGGACCATAGGAGAGAGGTTGGGTGCCCCCGCATGATGTCTTGGACCTGGCATTAGTTGAGGAGTTCCACCGCCATTTCCCTTCTCATCCCATCCAGCACCATGCCCTAGAGGTCGTCCTAGATGCTGCTCTCCAAGTCCTCCCTTGAACTGCCGTCGAAGGTCTTCCTGGGAAGAAAGCCTCTGTCCAGCACCACGGCAGCTCCATGAGTTCACACAGAGATGCCTTCGGAGGCATGGGTGGTGTTCGTCACAGTCATCTGTGGGTACCCCCTACTGTCATGTCTCTGGTTTTCATCTCTGATGTCATTTATGTTGCATTTGGGTTGTTGTGTTCATGCAGGGTAGGCTTTTTGTGTGAGTTTGTCCACCCTACACATGTCGTGTCCTCCCATGTTACCCCCTCCCTGGGTGGGCATTTCTAGTTTTTGAGAAGACTAGCTACTGAAGTGCTTGTTAAAAATAAAAGAGCGTTTGCCCGCATGCACAATGTTTTCTGTATCTTCTGTTGCACCAGTCCTACAATATAGTATGCCCATTTGAATAAACATTGGTTTGTTGTCCTATCTAGTATTTATTGTCATGTGTATTTCTTGTTCTGTTTATTTATTATCTGGTGTATTCATTGTATATTCTGTATTCATTTCATACCGTCATGTACCTGCACTCTGTGTAATTCTATTTAATGTGCTGCCGTTGTGTGTTGCACCATGGAATTGGAGAAATGACATTTTGTTCCAATGCATTCAAGCTGTTTTGAGGTTTGACAATGAAGACCACTTGACATGAAATCAAAACATATATTATTACATCAAGCAGTAGCTGGTCTCTGGTGTAATGGAAGAGAATTTATAAACTGTTGCTTTGGTGAGTCATTCTTAGGTACTGTCTATATGAAGACGGTCACTGCTAATCATATATGAAGGCATTAAAGCATTGTTTTGATAGCGTGACCGGTTGACTAAATCAGTGTCACTGGGAACACATTGTTTTATAATATACCAAATTTCTCAGAAACCTTTTTTGATGTACTCAGTTGCTTTATTTGCTGTTTTTATGAATCAGAATGGAAGATAAATGACCAAAAGTTCTGTTTCATTCTTAAAATTACAGTGAGCACAGGTTGTTTTGGATCACTGTGGAGGTGTGGGTCATGGATCAGTATACCAATACAACGATTCCTCAATTCTTTCTCCTTGGATTTCCAGGAGTTCTTCCAGAATATTACGCAGCAGTTGGAATGCTTCTCCTCTTCATTTACATAACACTTGCAGCAGGAAACATTTTCACTATTGCATTTGTAGCTTATGAAAAAAACTTACAAAAACCAACCTATCTTATCTTCTGTAATCTTGCTGCAGTGGATTTTGCTTT